GGGGGGGGGGGAGAAAAGGGTTCTCATTGTAGATCAGCAGTAGGATCCTAAACCTACCATCTCATCTACTATCTATTCTAGGAATGTCCAGTACAGAATGAATCTCCTCCAAAAATGAAATTTCGTTCACGTGTGGTGGAATCTATAAATGAAATCCTAGTTCATGTTTCATAACATATAAATGAAGTTACATCAGGCATGGGAAAATGGCAGCCCACATGTGGTCCTTGGACTCTACTTTTGGGACCCTTGAACCTCACTATTAGTTTTCCAAAGCCCCTCCTGATTTAGGTTTTGGCACAACCTGGGGGACAATTTCCCTTCCCAGACAATGCATAAAGATTCCGTGCAACACATAGAAATGTGACACTTTGAGAGATTTGGGGCTGGTATGAGGGAGGAGCATGTGGGGGTAATTGTCATGTGTTTTTATATGTTGGTGGTACTTTCCAAAGGGTTTGGGGGCAGAACTTTCCTTTTTCTTTTTTCTTTTTTTGCTCTGCAAAACCATGGCAGGAAGTGATGCCACTTCCTCTTACCATTTTGAAGGAGATTGCCAATGAAAATTGAGGTATTTGGAATTGCAGAAATTGCACGTTGATCTTTCCTTTAATATTTCATGTGAGCATTGTGCTCTCTAAATGGTTCAAGTTATTAGGACTGACATCTTTTAACGAGACCTGCCACAATGCTTCATCAGAGGCTATGACAAATAACTTTGCAATGATGAAGCTACATTACTGACACAATATGTAATGGGGGGGACAATGATGCACAATAGAAAACCATGCAAAATATCCTACTGCATGAAATATCTCATTGCACAATATATTGCTCATTGGAATGCATTATAAGTGTGGACATCAGGACTGTTGTGCAATGGACATGCTGGCAGCTTTGCTTGAGTAACGGTCCTGATGGTGTAGCTATGTTCCAAAACACATGGTAGAAATAATCCAGTTTGAGATTGCTTTAACTGCCTTGGTTCAGTGCTAGAGGATTCTGGGATGTTTTGTGAGACATTTAGCCTTCTCTGTCAGAAAGCTGTAGTGCCACAATAAACTACAGTTCCCAAGATTCCCTAGCACTGAGCCAGGGTAATTAAAACAGTCTCAAGCCTGATTATTTCTGCAGTGTATTTTGGACCTGTGTCTCCAGTCTCCTTCTGAGAATACAAACATTGTGCAATGTATGCAATTGTAAGCTGTGTTATGATGATGTAACTTCCAAATTGATTGTCAGTCATCATTTCCAAAAGGCAAAGTAATTCACTAGCTATTACCATTCTCATGCTACATACAGCCTTTTCCCAAAGAGTGGGTGGGAGGTGGGTGGTTGTAATCTTTCTGAAATGACTACTGAAATGCATAGAACTCTGAAGAGTTCTTTCCAAAATTGGCTTCATGCTCAAAATCACTATAAATGAGTTAACTCATCTGCACAAAGTACAGTGGAATGATGTGTGTCCTCAATGAGATTCAGTACAAAAGTTTATCCTATTGTGATGGTTATCTCCCCAGGATCCATCATCTCTGGTATCTGGAAAAAGATAGAGGTATGGGTCACTGCTAGTTTTTGATTACAGAGTAAGAAAAATGTGCCTTTTCCATTTCTGCAGATTGCAGTTAGTTATCCTCTATTGCAAGCAAACCAAAAGGGTTAAGAGAGCAATGAAATCCATCTATTTAAGTTTACATCCTGCATCTAGTGCGGGAGGAAAGCCAGTGTGATAATCTCCAAAAACTTTAATTCAGTGGGAGGGAATTGGCTAAAATTACTTATTGCTTCCTTAGGAATATTAGTGAAGAATTACATCCGTACATAGAACTGATATATTTCAGTGGAGCTCCTCTATCTAGACCAAACCAGCCATATGCGGATAGCTGTGAATACAGAAGTTAAGTTTCCCTTGTTAGTCAACTAAATGGGATTGGTGAGTACTGGAATGCAAGGGGTTGTTAAATATACTCACCTACATACATACTATGTATGTATGCTTGGTGAAAAAGGA